TGACCTCAAAATCAATAGGGGTCATCTACTAGTCATGACTAACCTCCATGCCAAATATGAAGACTGTGGGTCATAGGAATCTCAAGTTTTTGGGCGGATATGCTTTTTTTTTAATCAAGGTCCCTGTGACCTTTGACCCAGTGACCTCAAAATCAATAGGGGTTATCTTCTAATCATGACTAACCTCCATGCCAAATATGAAGACTGTCGGTCAAAGGAATCACAAGTTATTGGGCGGACAAGATTTTTAAGTCAAGGAGCCTGTGACCTTGACCTTTGACCTCAAAATCAATAGGGGTCATCTACTAATCATGACTAACCTCCATGCCAAATATGAAGACTGTGTGTCAAAGGAATCTCAAGTTATTCAACGGACAAGCCTTTTTAAGTCAAGGACCCTGTGACCTTGACCTTAGACCAAGTGACCTAAAAATCAATAGGGGTCATCTACTAATCATGACTAACCTCCATGCCAAATATAAAGACTGTGGGTCAAAGGAATCTCAAGTTATTCGGCAGACAAGCTTTTTTTTAATCAAGGTCCCTGTGACCTTTGACCCAGTGACCTCAAAATCAATAGGGGTCATCTACTAATAATGACTAAACTCCATGCCTAATATGAAGACTGTGGGTCAAAAGAATCACAAGTTATTGGGCGGACAAGCTTTTTGAAGTCAAGGCGCCTGTGACCTTTGACCCAGTGACCTCAAAATCATTAGGGGTCATCTACTAATCATGACTAACCTCCATGCCAAATATGAAGACTGTGGGTCAACGGAATCTCAAGTTATTGGGCGACAAGTTTTTTAAATTCATGGTCCATGTGATCTTGACCTTTGACCCAGTGACCTCAAAATCAATAGGGGTCATCTACTAATTATGACTGACCTCCATGCCAAATATGAAGACTGTGGGCCAAAGTAATCTCAAGTTATTGGGCGGACAAGGAAAAACCGACGGACAGCCGGACGCTGATTCCAGTATATCCCCTTACAATTGTTGTGCGGGGGTATAATAAGTCCCGTTTATGACCCTGTTTTGTCATTTATTATCAGGGGTGTTCATCCTTAGCGACTAAATTTTGTTCCAAAGAGCCATAATGTTTGTAATTATCAGGAAGTTTACACATTGTTTTCTTCAAATGTTTGACCTAACATGGCTACTGGACCGGACACGTTTTGAGCATTTTTTCCAAACAGATTTCACAATTTTAAAGCTAGATCTGAAAATTGGAAAAAGTACAGCTAGGTTCTTCTTCCCTTGTATTTGAGGTCCATGCACGGGGTAGCAAAATTGCCTTGTCTACAGTACTGTGTGTCCGGACAGATGTGTATGGCCTTAATTTAACAAAGATGATGGCTTGGGTGTTTTATTTTATACTAAAATATACTTCAGCACAGCATATGCTGAAATTTTTAATATTTAATTGTAAACAATGCAAACGATAATAGCTAATGTAAGAAAGAGGTCATGTATTGCATTTTCGACTGCGAATTTTCAACATCAATGTTCTTATAATAAACAAAAAACTTATAACGTTAATAAGTTTAAGTTAAAATCATTTGAATTAATTAACTATATGAGAAACGTGCATTAATTGTTGGTATTATAGCGTGTGATTTATCGACAATCATTGAACATAGAAAACAAATAAATCCAGCTTTTCCGGGTACGTCGAGGTTTAATGGTCGTCCAGTTTTGTTGGTCACTAACCAGCACTGATTTAAAAAACAACAACAACAAGAGATAACACTTTTTAACATTGTATTGTAAAAAAATCAAAAATATAAAAGCATGTGATACTAAAAAAGCTATGTACGCTGTTATTATGATTAGAACATAGTTACATTTCTGTTGGAATAAACTTGCATGTCAATATACATAAAATGTCAGATGCCTCTTAGTTTACATATATAACAACGATTAACAATTACAGTGGAGAATTTCATAAATGAACATGCTCTTCTGTTAATTTTTGAAATTTGTCAGCCAATAATAATATACAGTCTAGTAAAATTGGACACACATAATTATGTGGAAGTATCTACATGAAAGTATGTAGAGTGCACCAACATGCAAGCTTGCCTGGTTCAAAACTTGTGGCAGCAAAAGCTATTCATTTTGGGTACCAGTATTCTCAGGGGGGTGCTTTTTACTTTCTAAGCAGTCCTTCATATGTTCATAAACTTTTCTAAAAGCAGTCTTGAAACAGTCTGATTTGTACCTGTATACCCAAACAACACAACATCAATTATAATAGTACATGTATGTGCTTTAAAAAAAAATATTTGCCTTAAAATAAATCCAAATTTACAAACGAATTAATCTTAATTTAAAACCATTCCTATCATGGTAATAGGGAATCTGTACTTCTGTGCATTTGAGGTGGTTTATAATCTTGTTTTAAAGTCCTAGCATTTTGATATTTATAGAAACACAAAGTTATTTCACAAAGCCAGCAAATAGCTTTTTGCAAAGCGTATGCAAATTGTTTGACATGTGTTTATTGATTTCCATTTAACCCTACCCCGCTAAAACTTGAAAGTGAATAGCCTTTGCCACCAGTTTTGTTAATTATACACATTAATTGATATGATAAATTTTCAAACAAACAATTACAGATCTTTCTTATCTTATACATGTACAAATAATGAAGAAAAAAACTAAATTTTTGGCAAGATTTTCAAAAACATTAATAAATAATAAGAATATATATGAAAGACTAATAAGTAATTTGTGATTATGAAAATGTATACAAAAAAAACACAAGCTATTGCATAAGAATACATGTAGATGAATGAGATTTGTGTTAAAACTGATTTTTATATAATGCTTTGGTTCAATGAACTTTCAATGAATAAAATTAACAAAAAATCAAATACTGGCCAATAATAAACAAGAAAGCCAGGATGACCTTGCATTGCTCACCAGATTTTAGTTTCCTTTTGGCTGCCATGACAACCAGAATTCTGTATGAAATAGAATATTTCAGCTAAATTAAAGAGCAGAAAACCATATATTGATTGTAAGATCAATGACCTGGAGGTTTAGTATTATATGATGTTTAAAGAAGCATAATGACGGTAGATGACAGACATATGTCAATCACAATACCACACCTGAATATGCCCAGGTGAGCTAAAAACTGATTATTACTTTTACAGCAATTAGAACATTATATTTGCCTTGTTAATGTTTTCCTAACAGCAGTTTAATAAACCCATATCAGTAGTGAACTTAAATAACTACTGTAATGTTTTAGTGGTCTTTGACCATAAATAACAAATAGCAGTTTCTAACCTATTGTTATGGCAATATATACAGTGAATAAGGTATATTCATTTTATTTTGCTGAAAACACATGCTGCTTAGAAAATATTTTATAAAAAAACAACTAAATCAGTGTTTTCAATTGTAAACATAATGGTAATATATGAATAAATAATGCAAGCACCAACTTCCTCTTATACAGGGTGAGAAAGCAAAAATAGTTTTAATAATAAAAATTCTAAACTTGATATAAAAGCAATAAATAATACTTAAACTCAATGAAAAAGCTAAATAATACTTTTAGTAATTTTCTTAAATCATTTGTACGTTCTCATTAAATTAAGAAATAAATATGAACTTTGAAATACATTAAATTTGTAATTTTTTTAATCTAAATATCCCTACATCAAAATAGTTATTATATATAATAATGTCCTATGAGGTAAATTTCAAAAAGAGTTCAACTTTACGTAACATAAAACTCTTCATGTTTCTATCCCTTTTATGCTGAGAAGTAAATTATATTAAGTTATATATTTAAACCATAAAATATATTACTTAATGATAAAACAGGGGGCACAACTGCAAAAACAGGATGTCAGGGTTACTTGCCCTTTACAGGAAGGAAGAATGAACAGATTTGATCAAAACAAGTCTGCAAACTTCATATATAATTGTTGATCTCATTACTTCCAAAGAAATCACCCCTTTCCAGATTTTTAGGGTTTTTTTGTTGCTTTTTCTTTCTTTCTTTTTTATGATGGATTTTTCTTGGAAATTAGAGAATTTTTGACACTTTATGACAAATAATCCTTAAGATTACACAACACTGACAGAGTTGATAGCAAAAGCTCTGTTTTTTCTTCTTTGTAACATAAAGTAAAGTTAAAAAACATATTTTACTATAATCCTTATTCAGCTTGTACATTGGTGATTAAAATTTCTTTAATACAAAAAAATATATATATAAATTCAGTCAGTTTTTTACCCTTGATAAATAAAAGCAAACATCAGATATGTAACGGTGTGTTACACATTTTTTTGGGTTAAAAACATATTACATGTTTTATAATAAAACAAAAATAAATATTCATTTGTAACATAATCAAGGTTTCTGAATTTTCACTATTTCACTTGCTATGTAAACACAACATACAATTTCCAACATAACCAGTATGTTTTCAAATAAAACATGAGAATACATCAAAATATCTACACCAAATAAACTGAACTTTTCCAGTAAAACACAGGTCACACTTTGTATTATTATAAAAAATAACAACAGTAGGAGAAAACCTGCTCCAACCCTCAACTTCAATACTTTTCACTTTTCAACAAATCTGGCATTTCAGATAACCACAACTTACATATACACCAATGTATATTTCATATTTGCATTAAATCATATGTTTTTCTAGACATGTCAGGTGTTTGACTTTAATAACAGTCTTCAAATTTAACTTAAAACACAAATTATCTTTACATTCTTACCATAACTTACTAAAACTGTCTTTAATTCAACTTAAATCATGCCCCCCCCCCCCCAAGGGTAAAAACAAGCCAATTTGTAACATGATTCAAATCTAACATTAATTTAACCCATAACCTGCTGGAGCAGATAATGATTAACCTTTGACATCAGTACAGAGCCAGGCCAGCCTTCACTTCTGTGCAGTTTAACCAGGCTCTATACTATAGGTGGCTCATTTTTTTGTATATTGATTTTTGATACCTATTATCTTTAAATAGACTGTCCAAAATTCCAAATCATAACAAATCCATTTCAAAATTTAGGGGGTTACAGGTTAGAAATGGTAAGTATGTACTTAAATCAAACACCTGGCACAGATGTTAACATTTTAGTTATAATTGTACTTTTACTTATTAAATCACATATAATAGTTACACATGTCTGGTGTTTATATTTCATCACATATTAGCTAAGAAGGACGGATCTACGGATGCTAATTTGGCGGACAGGAATGAATGTATACAATATAATAATAACTGGAGACTGGAACATTCTACTTTCTGAAATGAAAACAAAAAAGAAAACTTATTAACACAAAGGACTCTATCTAAAATGCATATTTTAAGGCTGCTCACTCAACTATTTTCAATGCTTTACAGTAAGAATGGCATGACTTTGGTAAAAGGTAACTTAAAGAGTTATTATAACTGTGTCAATCACAGAGAACAAGTTTTTGAAGTTTCAACCTATTTTCTTCTGTAGTTTTGAAGACACTGAGGTGAGGGGCAAGTGACTTAAATCACATTAGCCAACTGTAACCATTCTGCCACAGAGGCATGACAGAGTATCAGAATAGAACCACTAAACTTCTATATTCTAGCTGAATATCTTCCTCACATCAAAGAATCCATAGTTTTTTTACCAGTATTCTAACACATACCATGTCGGGACAAGTATTTTTCTTTTCTTTTTCTTTTAGAAACAACTTTTCATATTAAAAGTATGTGTATGGAAGCTAAATAATTTTATATATCATATACAGGTTACAAGAATAACACCTCCAAATTGAAACATTAAGGTCCTTATAGCATTACCATTGTGTGAAGTGTCAATAAGCTGATTTTAATCAGACTGGGCCCAGTATATCTGAACCAGAATCTCTTAACAGCCTCCATACATGCCCTTTATATCATATTTCAGAGCCAGTCCTTCCATTTTTGGGTAAATATGAAGTTACTTACCCTAGTTTCTGTTTGACCCTCTTTCTCAGAGGAAAAATGTAGTTTTAAAGTTTGTTTTCCATCATCTGACGACCCTTTTAATCTTGAGAACTTATATGTCCATAAATATGTCTGAAAAAATAAATATATTTAAAAATAAAGTGATAGAATCTATTAATGTGTACATTTTACCTTGCTGATTTTGCATAAAAGACTATTGTTTGACTTGGAACTGGCAATCACTTGTTTGAAGAATATCAATATTAAAATACATTGTAGCACAAGTGGGCCATCACAGACAAGATCATTATACTTACTACAATGCAAGTTTTTGAGTTAAATTCCACCCACAATGCTCAGGTGAGATAAATCATTTTCTAATGAAATTTCATTCATGCCATTTTATATTTTAAAAACATTTTACATTTCATATTCACAAGACTAAATGCATAGATTAAAAACTATAATGACAATGTGGCCTAATTTCTCTTATTTTATTTTGTCTTCTATTCTATTTTAGTTTGAATGTGTTTGAAACTATAAGCTTATTGAAACACTCCCTAATCTTTTCCTGGAACAAATAAGTTTTAAGCAATGAGTGTAAAGTTTCTTGCTTATGAAAACAACAGTTTACCCCTGAAGACATTTGAACCCAAGCAGTCAGCAATCTATAGATTACTAATCTGAGGTGTTAACCACTTGGTCGTGCCACAACTCAAAACCTACCTTTGTTTCACTGTCATACAATGAGAAACCAACATCAATATCTAGAGTCAGTCCTGATAAACGTCCATGGTGAACACAACCAAATGTTTTTGACTGTAAAAAATAAGTACAACAACATGTAATACAAATACTGCTAGCCTTATCATCACTTACCTGAATTTTAGCTTTTTTTTGTCATTTATTTAAACTTGAAAAATAAAAATAAACATTTAAATTTGCTGAGAAAAGTTATCATTAATGTTTTAATTTACCTGTACTGATTGTACTAAATAAAATATTACAAGTGCATTTTGTGTGCTATAAATATGACCTCAGTAAAACCAATAATTTTGTCTGGGTATTTTTTTCTGTCACACCAACGATGTAAAGGTCACATATGGCCTTTATCCACAGCTTTTTAATAATACTTAAGTTTCTAGATGCATGTTTAAAAAGCCATATTTAAACAAACTTTTCTGAATTGTGTAACAAACCCCCCCAAAAAACACCTAAAAAATAGAAACAATGAGTCTACTTTTAAGAATCACTAAGAACGTCTCCCTGGGAGACACATACCCCTACATTCCCATGTTTTATCAGTCCATGGGCAAACAGATGGACAAACTGACAATGGAGAGGGCATGTTAAAATTACAATCAAGATCTAATGAACTTGAAAGAGAGGAAAATGATTAAAGGCCATTAAAACCACACAGCTACGGAGGCCTCAGAAATGAGTATTAAATTATAAAACTGTTACAAATACTTTTTTTGGACAGTTTAAAAAGATTTTACCTTTAATTTAGTTACAGCAGAATGATTGGTTCTATACCATGCTTTCTCTAGCTGAAGTAGATCTGACCTACTCTCTAATGTCAGGTATATTGTTTCTTTACTGCTTGTCTGAATAGAACAACAATGCTGTTTGTCATCGAGTAATTCTGAGTCCTGGAACAGTCACATATAACAAATTATAAATCCTGTAACAATAATTGCTGTTAATTTTAGATTTCCTTTATTCTGTTAACTCAATTTTATTACTACATATCTTTTATTTTGTTAACTGTTATTACTACATATTAAAGTTCAAGGGAAGTAACCTGTACATGTCATAAATCAAGTATGCAGGGGAGGTAACATCATTTAACCCATGATCTTGTATCTTTCTAAATGTATTACCCACAATTTAATTTCCATCAGCTTCCTTTTTCTGCCAAACTTTCAGAGATCAGCAACCCACCAACAATACACCCTTTTTAATGATAGTATGAATTAACATGGTTTGAATGAATAAAAGCAATGAAATTTGAAATACCATTAATTAGACCTATTCATCATAAATCATTTTATCATAAATCATTTTATGTAATTCTGCTGCTGAGTTATCTGTATTTACGAGAATTTCATGTTTTTATACATCAAAATAGTGAAACGTAATATAAATGCTTATTACCTGAAGAATTTTGAACATACATTCATAAACTTGGAAGACTGTATCACACCTCATCCAATCTCGACTTTGCATCTACGTGTAGAAATTAGTAAAATATAGTTATACTTTCAATTCAACACAAACGACAATAAATCAAAATACTTCTGATTTAAATTAATTTTACATACACAATTTTATATTGGGAAATTGGAATCAAACATGCACACACACACAAAAAACCTACATAAATCAAAGTGCAGAAGTACAGTTGTGTTGGCTATTATATAATGTTACTTTAAGGTTAACTTGCTATATTAGGTAACATTTTTACACCTTTTTTGTGTCATAATTTATCTCTTATAATAAGAAAGCGTATATTAATATCAAGACAACAAATGTTTCTGATTTTTCTGCTAACAACATTGAATACACTATTGTTGCTATTATATAATATCTCAGATGATGTCATCTATTAACTTTATTCTTAAAAACTATTAATGAAGTTAATCTTTACATGAGCTTCGTCACGACAAAAACCAACATAATGGGTTTGTGACCAGCATGGATCTAGACCAGCCTGCGCAGTCTGATCAGGATCCATGCTGTTCGCTTACATTTAACCCTATTACAAGCAGACATGGGGTAATCGTAATCGGTAATTTAATTTAATTTAATCAATTACAATTTTTTGAGTAATCACAGTAATCAGTAATCATAATTTTTTCCTGTAATTTAATCATAATTTAATCAATTACATGACCAATTAATCAGTAATCACAATGATTACATGTTTGATTACAATACATGTTAAGCTTAAAAAAATTGCTGAACAAACATACATATAAAGGTTAAAAAAGTACCAGTGTCAATGCCTACTAATTGTCTTAGGTAGTGTAGGTGAATTAAATGCAGTCACCCAGGTCAGATTTGATGACACCTGTGTTTTAAAAAGGTGATGAAAAGATCACTGACAGATTGACCCAATACATAAATGATTGTCACAATTATACCACTTAAATCTAGCTGTGAAATTATAACAATGGCCTGGATAGGTATATTATCACTTATTGAGAAGACTTTACAGGTTCGGTAAAGATAGATAGATTCTTTTATTCCTCAGTTGTTTATTTTCTCGTAATCTCTGATGTAATAGTAACCAGTCATGCATAACGATTTTTTTGGCGTGAACCTCTTTGAGTTCACCTTTCAAACCGAAAATTTACTAAGGCCGAAGGGCGATGGTTAGTATGGCTATGTAATTATATGATATTATGTCTGTTCAAATCAAAGTCAATCAATACGGTAAAAAGTCACTTAGCGTTCCTTAATCCAATCCACTGTTATTTCCCAGTTAAGTCCAATGTACTAAGTTTACAGTGTTGTAAAAGCGTCAATGCGCCCCAAGCTAAATAACTCCTTTGTCTTCCGTTTTCCACTGATTATTCCAAAACAGTTCACTTTTAAGACACATAAGTTCCAAGACTTATAGTTCTTATGTTCACACATATGTATTCCAATTTTCAGCTCGAATTTACACCATTAACTATTTTAAAATCGATAAAACTAGCCAGCCCTCTTAATTGACACAGGCCGCGACTTATATATTCTTCTATTCTATTCTAAGTATAAGCTGCAATTACTGACAAAAGTGAGATATGGTTATATTTTCTGTTACATTTTCTGTTACATTTTGGTATTGTTAAGTCCATGTAGAAGCAAAGAGTACAAAAAGATTTTCATCATATCGAAAAGAAAGCAATTATATATTATACATTTGAAAAACTAATGAACATTAAATGTAATATGAGAATAAAGCTTAGTAAATAGGAGGCAACACATGTACATATGTAGACTGAATTAATTACTGTAAAACTAAGCTGGATTATTTATTTGTACATTTGTTGTATTGAAATGTTCAAATAAAAAACTAATAGTGTTTTGAACCATTGCATTTCTTAACTTATGTACATGTAATCAGTAAATCATAAATGTAATCTGATTACTCCTGTCAGTAATCAGTAATTTAATCAATTACAATGTCAAAATAGAGTAATCAGTAATCTAATTTAATCAAGCATTTTGACAAATAATCATAATTTAATCGATTACAGTTGTCAAGTAATCGCCCCATGTCTGATTACAAGTAGAGAAACTGATAGCAAACAGCATGGATCCTGATCAAACTGCGCGGAAGCGCAGGCTAGTCTGGATCCATGCTGGTCGCAAACGCATTACGTTGGTTTTGTCATGACGCGGCTCACATTTCAAACAAGTGATGTCAAGATGTCATGTGAGAGAAATACATCATTATACTTACAGGGGGTATATCAAACAGGTAAATATCTGGACCTTTTAGTGCCACAAACTTTGGCTTCCAACCATGAGTGCTGTTTCCTGGGCTACCTCTTTCTTGTGTCCAACCCATATATTGTATCTAAATTAAAAACATTTGTTTTTTGACATGACGAAACTGAATTTTTTCCAGTGATTTATGTGCCATTGGAAGTTGGTCTGGAACCAATGACTTTTGGTGCAAAAGCTCAATCTATTATTCCAGAATTATCAATTTTATTGTGCAAAACTATTCCAAAAATGAAAACTGTCAAATATTTTTAACTCAAATCAGGCTATATTTCTTTATTATCTGTTCTGCTTTAAGTTGAACAAGTTGAATAACAGTATGTTTTGTAAACCTTTTTATGCGATATTAGTGTTACCCAAACTTTAAGTACATTTTACGCTTTGTACAATGCAAATGACGTCTTGCCAAAATATATGCACATCAGTGCAATACTAACAGAGTCAAAAAGTGGCACAGATTTGTGATAAAATAATATTTTCAATTCTACAGAGTTCATAATAATGACATCAGCAATTCTAATAAGTCATAATTATGCATAAATTTCATAGAATGTAATAGACACAGGTACGCAAATTGGAAAAATGTGAAAATCAGTTATATATTGTATCTGTTATTTTTTATGAATAATCTTTACTTTAATCTGGAAAAAACATGTTTCATGAATTCAGGTTGCTTTAATATAAATTCATTTAATAATGAAAATCTAAATATTGAAAACAAAATTATCTAATATGACTAGACATCATAAAGGGAAACAACTCTTACTTGCTCTTCTGGAAGTAACAATCTATTCATCATTTTTATCTGAAAACATAGAAATGAAATAAATTATTGTAAAGATAATGTTATTTTTGCAGGAAATGGCGTGTAGATAACATACCTCTCTTGGAAAGTAGAATATGACAGCTTGGTGTGAAATCTTTATTAAATACGAACTACAACCCTTTCAAATCAAGCCCTTGAGATATATTCTGATGTCATTTCAGATTTAGTTGCAATGCTCTGTTATAAACATTGTTATTTTTGGCAAAACACAACTTTGTTTCCTCCACTGATAATTTTACATATATTAAGGCATAACACCGCAGTATCACTATAAATAACTTCCTGGTATCACACAAACATTGTCTAATCATGTTTGTTTAAGCAGTAAAAGAGTAAAGTTCTAAAGTTAAGACAGGAATTTACTCTCCATAATGTAGCATTGACAAAGCAACATTGTAATAATGTTGCCTTAAAAAATGAGGAAGATTAAAAAATCTATTTATAGCCTCAATGACTTGTTACTCTGTCACCACGAAACCTTCATGGTGATACAAACACACCAAATATTTATACATATCAAAACAGATCAGTGATAGTCAATGCATTAAGGTCCTATGAGAAATGATAAGTGTGAATCACAGATAGGAGGACAGAATTATACACAAAACTGAAAACTAGCCACTAATTTCTCCTTTTAAGTTCGAGTAGCATAAAAATGTCATATTAATGTATCTATACCATCATAAAAATGTTGTAACAATGTTTCTGATAGTAATTCACTAAAATCCCCCACCTTTTGGTTAAGAAGATAAAATTTTTATTAGTTATGCTGCGACCCTTTCCCCGCCAGCGAGTATTTGTCATAAAAACGTAAATCACCCCAGACGTTTCCGCTATCCGCTAGCTAAAAATAATTTACCCTAAAGAAATAAAATTTAAACACCCCTTAAAATTGCCATATTTACTATTTGATAATCAGCCATTGAATTAAGCACTGGCCCCATGGCCCATTGCCAGTGAAAATTAGTTCGGGCCAGTGTAAATTTTAAGAAATATCAGTTAAATATATAGTAGAATAAATTCAAAACTGGAATTTGTGCCAGTAAATTCAAAATCTTAAATTCAATGACTGGATAATTATGTTATTGGTGTTTCAATATGGCTGACATTATCGCATACGGTACTTGTTCATATGGCATTCTTGTCATTACATTCTGATTACTATTACATTACTGAAATGATGGTGAAATTACTATTATGACATTTTCACCATCACCCTCTATTTACTATCACAATATTTCTGAAATAATGGCATAATTACTATTATGACATTTTCTCCCTTTCCATCTAATTACTATTACAAGAGTACTGCTATAATGGTAAAATTACTATTTTGACATTCCTGCCATGATGATCTAAATTATATCAATTAAAGTATTGACACAAGTTACCATGTCCGATGCTTTCTAATCAATTAAATCAAGGTCAGTTGGACACACATTTACATGTATCCATGTTGTTCAAGGTATAATGATAAAGGCATAGGGACACAAATCAATCCTATCATTTACCTGAGTTGATCAGTCTGACCGACATATCTAGTAAGGTAAGCATACAGCAGTGGTATAGATGAATAAACAACCCACTGTTTCTCCAATCGAGGCAAAATCACACCAGGTGGCAACATATTCTGGAAACATGAAAATAATACATTAACACATTTACATGGTCTTACCAATATAACATAACAGTAAGTTTATACACTTATTACACATTTATTCAAAATTTCAAATACAAAATTGCCCCCCACCCCTCCCCACTTTTTAATCAAACAGACCTCTTATATTTTTGTAGTGGGTCAGTGACAAACAGAATAATTAATATTATTACAAATAATATTGAATTGAAAACAAGTAATATCATGTACTATTTTTTTTCTGATGTATTTTAAATGATATGTTGTATATTTTAGTTTATACAGAATTTATTTTAGTTCAATTCTGTAGAAAGCTATAAGCCTTTAGACACACTTTCGAATCCGTTCCTGGAACCAAACAGTACTTAGCAATGAGTGTAGTTTCTTGCTCAAGGAAACAACGACTTGCCCCTGATCGGGATTGCGGCTAGCGACATTACTCCTCAGGCGTTTTAACCAGCTGCCACTCTGTACATTTTCGTAATAGAACTGAAACATTATACTTATGTACTTTAATGCTTACCCTATCATTATCATTGAAGGAAGCTGAAAATAAAAAATTTAACATCATTAAAAACGAAAAATCTGTCCTCATTTAAATTAGTCACATGAAACTATGAACAATGAAGAGCTTTCTTACCAAACATATTTTTGCAATTACTTCTTGATATGATTACCCTATACACTGTTTACTTGTAAAAAATTATCTAGTTTTCATTTAAATTTTGGATAAGTATGTTACATGCACTGTTAACCACTGCAATAAACAGAATTGATAAACATTTTTTTCTCCTTTTATTTAGAGATGGCAACGAATACCAAAACCAATGGTCATAGAATTCATAACTATAAATAGGACTGCAAGGGAGGTAACTAAAGACAACCAATAAACAAATTAATTAAAATTGGGTCAACAACATTATATTTTACAACGTTTTAATTAATGCAATATCAAGTTTAAAACATGTATTACATTTCATATATATCTTTTTTTTCTTCAAATAATATAGACTGATCGGCGGAAATGGATAAAGCTAGCAATGTTTTATGCTAGAAATAGCTTTTCACCTTTAAAAATATCAGTAAAATTTTTAAAAAAAAAAATGAGGGATTTAATTTTTAAAACATTTAATATCAATTTAAAATTTTTTCATTTAGTTTAGCAGACTTGTTAAAGGAAAAACAGCAGCTGGTTTTTAAAAAAAACGTAAAAGTTTAGAGTTTACGACATCTCCCGCAAAAAAATTCCCCCCCTTAAAAAAGGCCTTTTCCCCCCCTCCCCCCCTGGTCCCTGGGTTTTATGTCCCCTATATTTTACATCATTTAACCCCGTATTTACACAAAAAATTTTGCAATTTAAATATCTTTTTAAAGTGTGTTATTAGTTAAATTGGGGTTTAAAAAACCGGTTGAATTTACAAGGAAATGGCTTTCCTCTGAACATGTATTAAAATAATCAAAATTAAAGAATTGGGCTGTCAAAATGGCCCGTTTTACCAAAAAAAAATTTTAATTTTTAAATATGTTTGGATACATTTGTAAACTACAAAACTTCAATAAAATATAATAAATTTGCCCAACAGACACTTTTTTGAATTTAAAATAAAATAAATGTTACAGTAAATTCCCAAGAATATTTATAAAAATTTCACCGGGCTACACAAGTTATTTATTATTCATGTAAGGTTAAAAGGAATTATCATATGGCAAAGTGTAAACTTATTTTGATTTGCACCTGTTCACTCACTACATTAACCCTTTGATAGGCAATATGCCATGTCACTTTAAAGTGGCATTTATTTCAGTTGTGGCATTTTGGAATGGGAACTTTGATGTTGATTTAAATCCTCTTTCTTTCTTTTAAAAAAAAAAAAGATGTTGACCAATTTAAAAGATTTTTTTACTTTAATACCTTTAATATTGCATCTCCAACATAGAGTTGTTTGGTTTTGGAGTCTGGGTTGGGCCTGGTTTTTAATTTTTGGGAAACATTGTGGTACCTTAAAAGGGTTTTTGTTCTTTAACCCCCTTTTACACTGAGACCAAACCCCAGCCCCCCCTTTTCCTTTCCCCTAAAGCAGCTCCACAGGGCTACCCTGTTTAAAAAAGTTAAAAAAAATAAAATTTAAAGCATCAAAATTTTTTGCCCCAAAAAAGCATTTTTCAAATTCAAAATAAAGGCCTGAAAAGTAAAAAAATTTTAGTCTTGAAAAACTTTCCCAAATTGTTTGGGGAAAATTTCCCTGCCAAACATTCCAATTTTTTTTTCCAAATTTCCAGTCATATACCAACATGAATTTACCCTTTTCCCTTTAGAATTTATCAAACAAAAAGGAAAAAGGAGGTTTTAACATTTAACCCAAAAAAATTTTCATGGTATGACCAGGAACAAAATTAATAGGCACCTTTTTAGTTAATTTTTAACCAAAAAACTTCTGGGTTAGGTTAACTGGATAACCTTCTCCTTACAAAGAAGAAATTCCAAAATTTTCTCGGGTTTGATCCCAAAAAAACCCAACAGCGAAAATAAAGGGGGGAAAGTGGGTAAGTCAAGACCCTTGAACCAATTGGCAACTGACTCCCCTACACCCTGGCATTAATAACCACTAATAGCATGAGTGTGGATTGTACAAGTTGAAAGAGAATCTCACAAACAGTGAAATTTTAACCCATGATCTCGGGGTAACCTCTTCAACATTTTTTCTCCATGAGTATCTGATTCAGTAGTATATAATTATAAGTAATTTCTGCTGACATTTACTAGTGCATAAAGCTACACTGTGTGCTGCTTCAAAGTAGGTTAAAAACATCATTAATTAGGATGCCAAAATTAATACTTACAGAATCCAACATTGATTCATTTCCATTTTCTTCTGCATCAACTTCTCTTTGCACATATTCTTCCCTCAATAAGATGAGAACTTCTGGAGTTAACTTTAACTGAATGATCTCCCCTGCTGTTTTCCCATCACTCAAGGTAGCAAATCCAATTTTAGCCTATAGTGAATTAATAAACAATTTTGTAAATGTATAACAAATATGTTAGAATAGACAACAATATCTAAGTAAAATTCGGGGCTTTAATTATCTTAGACTGAAGCAATGACAGACATGTCTCTCCCTTACCAGTACCTGCCCCTGACAATTCTCCCTTAAACAATTTCCTACGGACCCCTGACAGTTCTCCCCCAGATTTGAAATATGTAATATTTCAAATCTCCACTTTAAAAAGCTTGGGGCCGGATTGACATGACCCCTAAAGTTTTACTTACTGTTACTAAATTGATAAACAAGAGGGCCATCATGGCCCTGAGGTCGCTCACCTGTATATAGGCCCCCCACCCCCGGGCCAATTTTTACCCAAGGGCTTTTATTTGTTTATTTGAACAGACTTGGTAGACACCCATAAAAGATGTTTCATGCTAAACATCTAAGTTCTAGCTCATTGGCATTTTTAAAAGAAGATTTTTAAAGTTTTTACTATACACATATAGTTAAAAACAATGTCACCCCTGGGGCAGGGCCAGTTTTGACCCCCGGGCGTTTATTTTAACAAACTTTGTAGATATTTACTTAAAGATGTTTCATGCTTAATATCTAAACTCTAGCTATGTGGGTTTTTCGAAAGAAGATTTTTAAGTTTTTGCTATACACATATAAGGAAAATCAATGACCCCCCCCCCGGGCGGGGCCAGTTTTGACCCCAGGGCTTTTATTTGAACATACTTGGTAGACACCCATTAGAACATGTTTCATGCTAAATATCTTAGCTCTAGCTCTTTGAGTTCTTTAAAAGAAGATTTTTTAAGTTTTTACTATATGCATATAGGGAAAATCTATGACCCCCTGGGGCAGGGTCAATTTTGACCCCAGGGCTTTAATTTGAACAAACTTGGTAGACATTCACTAGAAGATGTTTCATGCCAAATATCTAAGCTCTAGCTCTTATGGTTCTTTAAAAGAAGATTTTTTAAGTTTTTACCATATGCATATACAGGAAAATCAATGACCCCCGGGGCGGGGCCAATTTTGACCCCAGGGCTTTAATTTGAACAAACTTGGTAGACACTCACTAGAAGATGTTTCATGCTTAATATCTTAGCTCTAGCTCTTTGGGTTCTTTAAAAGAAAATTTTTTAAGTTTCTACTATATGCATATAGGGAAAATCTATGACCCCCTGGGGCGGGTCAATTTTGACCCAGGGCTTTTATTTGAACAAACTTGGTAGACATTCACTAGAAGATGTTTCATGCCAAATATCTAAGCTCTAGCTCTTATGGTTCTTTAAAAGAAGATTTTTTAAGTTTTTACTATATGCATATAGGGAAAATCAATGACCCCCGGGGTGGGGCCAATTTTGACCCCAGGGCTTTAATTTGAACAAACTTGGTAGACACTCACTAGAAGATGTTTCATGCTAAATATCTTAGCTCTAGCTCTTTGGGTTCTTTAAAAGAAGATTTTTTAAGTTTTTACTATATGCATATAGGGAAAATCAATGACCCCCTGGGTCGGGGCCAATTTTGACCCCAGGGCTTTTATTTGAACAAACTTGGTAGACATTCACTAGAAGATGTTTCATGCCAAATATCTAAGCTCTAGCTCTTATGGTTCTTTAAAAGAAGATTTTTTAAGTTTTTACTATATGCATATAGGGAAAATCAATGACCCCCGGGGGGGGGGGGCCAATTTTGACCCCAGGGCTTTTATTTGAACAAACTTGGTAGACACTCACTAGAAGATGTTTCATGCCAAATATCTAAGCTCTAGCTCTTATGGTTTTTTAAAAGAAGATATTTAAAGTTTTTTCTTTTGGTTGCCATGGCAACCAGAGTTCTGCATGGAATTAAATTCTTTGAACAATTTTTAAAGGTGACCACCAAAGGAACATTCCTGTGAAGTTTGGATGAAATTGGCTCAGTGGTTTATGAGGAGATGTCATTTAAAGCAAAAGTTTACGGACGGACGACGGACGGACGACGGACGGACGGACGCCGGACGAAAAGCGATCACAAAAGCTCACCCTGTCACTTTGTGACAGGTGAGCTAAAAAAAGGATCAAAGACAGAAAAGGCTGTGTTGCATTTAAATACCAAATATCATGAGGCTGTTATGATACAAATATTTTTTACTATTGACCATTTATGTCGAAAATTTAACAAAGTCAGAAAACAGGAAGTGGATGAGCGACAGACCCCAGGCCAAAGTATGGAACCAAGTGTCAATGCTGTAAGCCAAATATCAAGAGACTGGGATAAGAATTTGCTGAGAAAACTGAATGTTGAAATTTTAACTTAGTCGGTAAACACGAAGTGTATGAGCGACAGACCTTAAATGAAATCCCACTGTATGGGACCAAGTGTCAATGCTATAATAAGTATATATATGCCAAATATCAAGAGGCTGTGATAAGAAGTTGCTGACAGTGATTTTTCTACTTATATAACAGACTTCGAAAAAAGGCCTCTTCCCAATTGAAATTTTCTTTAAAATCATGCAGTTTTCCCAAAAATGTGAACATAAACCAGCTTTTTTACTTCCCAAATCAGCAATTTTAGAGATAATTTTTCCCAAAATCAAGAGGCTAAGGCCTCTTCCCAATTAAGTGAGAAAAATCACTGGCTGAGAAAACTGTTACATAAATTTCCTAACATTGACGATTAATGTCGAAAATTTAAGTAAGTCAGAAAAGTAGATGAACAGAAATCGATTCCAACAGTATAGGACCACTTGTAAGTAGTTGCTGAGAAAACTGTTACGATTGTTTTCCCTCCCATTGACCATTTATGTCAAAAATTAAACTAAGTCGGAAAACAGGATGTGGATGAGCAACAGACCTGAAATTGAATCCCACAGTATGGGACTTTGTGTCAATGCTGTATGGTAAATATTAAGAGGATGTGATAAGATGTGTTGCTGAGAAATCTGTTTCGATTTTTTTTTCCTGCCCGCCAGTCCACCACCCGCCGCCAAAAAGTCACCAATCCATACTATAACCCCCTTTTGCACCTGCGCTACCCGACCAAAATAATCTGCCACTATTAACTTCTAAAACTAAGGTTTTATTATCTTAAATGAAATCTTCTTGAAGAATTAGAAGCACAACTTTTAGCTAAAGATACTTCAGCGAAAAGGTTTTATAGGACTGCTAGACCTGTTCGCTGAAGCCAATCCCGTATCGAAAGTCAACCAGAACGTGACATATTTATGTCATACTGTAATCCAATAAATTTGCGTGATCTGGACAAAAGCTATTTTAATACAGGTAGTTAAATATATTTGGAAGACTTCAGTCTATATTTTTCAACACAGAACATTAGATTGATGAAAAATGCCTCTAAGTTTATCAGTGGATTCACATTTCATAAAATTCGCCGCCATTGCTGCCCTAATTATCACGTGACTAGCGAGAATTTAGGTTCGGATACATTTGCATGACATTTGGTGACCCAATTTACCCAAATGCTATTTTTAATTGAAAACATGGCTTTGCAATTATGAATAACTGTGTATTTATTCAATAAAAGATATTGTACCAAAGGTATGTTGGATTTGTTTTGAGTGATAATTTATGAATGATTTGTTTGTTTCTCTTTAAAATCATACACTTACTAAAAATAGTGTACGGTCCGTTACTAAAAATAGATGCTAGAATTCCCAAAAACTTGAAGTCCCGCGAGATTTCATTTGACAGCAGACTCCATATTGGTAAACATTCTCTTCATATTTCCCTAACAAATAGTTGGGTACACAATGTCATTGAAGTTTCATTTAAAAAAAACTGAATGGTATTTTTATTTGACCAAAATTTTATTGAAAAGGGTGATTTTTTTATAATGTACCGTACGCCACACAAACTGCAAAAATTCTGGTAGCCTTTGCAAAAAGGGTTGACCCATAACTTTACTGTCGCACACATCAATCTAAAAGCGACATAAAGTTATGGAAGCCAGAACTACGCAACTTTGTGTTGAATATTGCCATTTGTTCTGCAAAGCTGGCCTGGGCTTTGACTTCCCCTGCCATAAACTAAACATGTATATTTATAGAAAATCAAATAAAAACATAAAAAATATATAGATTTCTACACCTATCAGTGAAAATGTTCAGTGTTATATTTTGTTTGGTGCCGCCTTTTTCAATGAAACTAAATGAATAAAGTGGGGTATTCTGAACTTGCATTAACCAGTTACCTTTACCAACCCAAAACTTTATTAACAAACTGATTTTTTACAATTTTTAATCTCATGACTGTTGCTCTATTTTGCCCGAAATTGATATGTATCCGAATATAAAGCTACTGGCTGATGACTCATTCGCCGACTGGATATTTTTTATTTTATTTTACTGCATTGCACACAATGTAAAAAGACGCATACAATACCGTACCTCTGTAGGCGTTGCCATTTCTACACTCTTTTATACATATAACTATTTCAATGCTTGTGTTTTCTTGCAGAATTCAATAAAAAATATTAAATTAAATGTACGCAAACTTTCAACCGGAAGTTGTTCTGATATAGTTCCGGTTTAGAAATCTCGCAAAGTTACGCGAGACGGTTGTTTGCATAGAAACGGTGCTGGCAACGAAGCTGTGTGTGTAGACTCAACTGCAAAACAACTAATGTAAACAGTCAAAACACATTAAACAAAGAAATACAGAATGGAAGGCTTGCCTTTTCTACCCGGGAATTCATTTGTTGATCCCACGGTAAGATATTTTCAAAATATTAGCGAAAATGTTCATAATTTTATAAATAAAATTGTAAAGTGATTGTTTTCAGTTGCTATTGACATGCAGTTCCAGTGTTATGATCATTTTGCTTTAAACTTTTAAATTTTGAATGTTAATGTTGAAAGTTATTGTTCGAATGGCGTGTCTTACTGCATATTCATTAAAAATTATTTTAATAAAGATCTATTTGTCACAAAAATCAAATTAAATAAAGATACAATGTATTATATTGATCTACAGCTAGGTGGCCTGTGATGAATTTCCTTGCATTTTCACAGTGCTTATTTGATGCACTCTATCTTTAAATAATTCAAGCATTTTATGTTGAAGTAATATGACTCTCTGATAAATAAATTACTTTGATGTTTATTTAATTGTTTTCTTTAATTCTTACCAAACATTTTACCAGACTTTTGATTTAAACAGTCAAATCTAATATGGTGTTGACTCTAGGACATGGACAAACTTAGGGCCCTAGATTATGAGATGATATCATTTTTCACGCCATTTACTCATGTAAACGAATACTATAATATAGTATTATTTAATATTACAGAATTTAACTGGTATGAAAGCTAATACAAATGTATGTAATGCCTGCTTAGTGTAATCGATAAGGATTTTGAAGCAGAATGATGTAGATGTATGTTGCACATAGAGAATTACGTCCTGTATGACTGTGTACGGAACAATGGACCTGATTAATCTTAAGCTGTAAAGAAATGTTTCTAAGAATTGTATTAACATAATATATAGTTATGCATTATTGTTACATTTTTAATGAAAATAAACTTTGCTTTTTGTATAGAAATCAAAGTATCACAGAAGCCAGTCCCTAGGCTACAGAAATGGATATGCATTGCCAACACACCCTACTGTTGGAATAGGCGGTGAACCAATTATTTACAATCAACTATCAGAGCAGGAGCTTGATGAATTGGCCAACTTTAATCCCACACTGACCTATGGTCAAGCAAAAGAAGCCCCACCAGAGGACTTTGTGCCAGGACATGTGGCTTGGGATAAAAAGGTATTTTAACATGTTAATGTCTAATCACTTATACTGTAATGGATAATTGGTAACATTTCTATATAAAATTCAAATACATATCAGGTGGGGCCTTGCAACTGTCTTTAGTGGTTCCATAGTACTTGATAGTCCTTTAAGGATTGACTTTTTTTTACTGGTATTTATTGCAGCATCTTAAATAGAAAATTTTTAATGTATGTGATAATGTCCATCTAATTTCAGTCAGTGTTTAAAAAAACAACAGTTTAATGTTAGTTCATTCTGCCAAGTTTAAACATGGCATTACATAGATCTATCTCTGGATACTGCCAACCCCTCTTACGAGTGTTAAAGGCAGGAATTTAGTGCACGTCGGATTGTTAGTAAAAGGTGAAGAGAAAAGCTAAAAAGAAAAGTCCAAACATTGACATGCTTGGAAGGTGAGACTGAAAATGTATTCTAGTCATGGTTAAAATGTTAATAGTGAAACAAGATGATAAGAGATAAAATAGTTTAAAAACACTGGGAGTAAGACTAGTACTGCAAGCCCACAACTGCCTGTTTGAACTGACTCAGGTTGGGCAGGGTGGCAATGTTACTAGGAAGTTTATTCCATAGTATAATGCTATGAGGGAAGAAAGAGTACTTATGGTAGTCGGAGGATACCTGTATTTGACGTAGGGATAAGGGATGCATATGTCTGGTTAATCTATGTGGGGTTTGAACATAAGTTGGGAGATTAATTGCAACTAGGTTATGGTATATCTTATAAAACATTATCAGTCTACAGTCCAGTCTGCGATGTTCAAGGGATCGCCAGCCCAGTTCTTCCTGCATGGCTGTGACACTAGAGTGAGGGGAGTAATCCTTTTAACCCATCTTATTGCACGTCTCTGGATCATCTCAACTTTGTCAATATTGGTTTTAGTATAAGGAGACCAAATAGATGAGGCATATTCAACCTGTGGGCGGACCAGGGACTTGTATGCTAGTTCTTTTACTTTCTCATTTTTAGTGATGACGTTTCTTTTAATAAAGCCAAGGGATCTGTTTGCATTGGAAGTTATTCGAGATATATGTGTATTAAATTTAAGGTCAGCAGATAGATCTAGTCCGAGATATTTAGCATTTGTAACAGACTCTAGGATTTGGCCATGGAGCATATATTTGTGTTTAATTATGGTCTTATTTTTGGTGATATGGATGACTTGGCATTTTGAAGGGTTAAACTCCATGTCCCACTGCTTCTCCCACAGAACCATATTGTCTAGATCATGTTGGAGAGTTGGGGGGTCTGAGGAGGAATTGATGGTTAGGTAAATTAATATGTGTCTGGAATAATACAACATCAGCTTGGAAGTGCAACCCACAGGGAGTGCTGTATATTAAGTGTCTTGTTGTCAGCTTTTGTGCAAATTAAACATTTATTTGCAATTATCTTTTGCTAATATCACTGAAGTAAAAGTGTCATATCTAAAGTTTTAAAACTAGCATATAATAAATTTGGAACTTTTGTTCCGTACATTAAAATATAATATATATATATGCTGTGAAACACTGGACTAATTTACTTGCAAAAAGTTAAAGAATCAGATGTGAAAGTTCCATTTCACAATTATATTTTCATTTCATTTCATAAACACCTACTATTGTAGCATGAATTTGAGTATTAATTTTAAATTTGAGGGAATAAAAAACATTTGTACAACTATTTAAATTTCTTCCATCTGAATGTAATTTACATGAATTTTATTTTGTTTTAGGTGCTAAGGTTTAATGCATACTTCAAGCAGACAGTTCATGAGTCAAAAGATGAGTACTTCCGGGTACGCCCTGTAGATATTTTCTATTACCTTGAAGATGACAGTATTGCAGTTATTGAGCCACATGTAGAAAACAGTGGTATGCCACAAGGTATTATTATTTCATTGTTTATGAAATTTTTTGAAAGCATCTCCTTTCATGTCTTTTCACAAATTATTCACATTTGCATAAATTAAGTAGGGACTAGGTTTGATTAAAATGCATTTAATATTGAGACAAAATTTCCTTGTGGCTTTTACATATATGTTATATACAGTAACAGATTAGCAATATTTGAAATCATAGCCCAAAAAAAATACCATCAACCAAAACACTAGATTTAAACAGAATACAAATCAGATCATAATTTGTAATATTATCTAAGATTTAAAGAATTTTACCGGGTACAATTTGGGAAAATATTTGGCCAAAAATTAAAATTTGGTTTAAGTTGAACTAGTAAAGGGGAAATGAAATGGAAATTATTTTAATTATTTTTATTTCTTGTTACAAAAGTAGTATTGTATACTTAAATTTCAAATTTTAAACAATTACTTTTTGTAAGGGGTGGGAAAATGGGCATTTTCCCAAACAGCTTGTAAAAAATTGTTTTTGAAAAATTTTCCCGCCAAAATTGTAACAAAAAATTACATTCTGGTTTAGAGTTTTAATTTGCTGTATCTGTATTACAGGTAAATTGATAAAACGACAGAGATTGCCAAAGAATGACCAGGGTGACCATTGGCACTGGAAGGATCTTAACAATGGTGTCAATGTTACATTCTACGGAAAAGTTTTCCACATTGTTAACATGGACAAATTTACAAGCGTAAGTGTCTTTGTTCTTTAAAATGCTCCCAGCAGATTATTAACAATACATTTTTCTGTGCCTCTTAAAGATCTATACAGATAAATTTTAAGGAAAAAATGAGCGAAAAATATTCTTTATTTATATACATGTATTTACATTTTTTGGTCAGAATATTCAAATGCTCCAATATTTTTCTTGTACATTTGAATATATAGAGGATATTTGTTTAGTTCAGTGTAAGATCGGAATATATTTCACCGAGTGAGCACCAAAAGGTATATTTCACGAGTGGCGCAGCCACGAGTGAAATACGAACTTTTGGTGTTCACAAGGTGAAATATATTTCTATCTTACACTAAACTAAACAAATTTTCTTTTTATTATATGCAAAGAAACGTTTTAAAAAGACATTAAACATGAAACTGAATGAAAAGCGCGCCAAATAATAATACAACACGACGTAATTTACGACGTCACATCATTAAGTTGGTTCCCAGTACTGTGCACGCTAGTATTTCACTGAAACAACGTAAGGGGCTTAAATTCAAAACAGTGAAATTATCAAATTGATAATTTCACTGTTTAAAACAGTGAAATTATCAGTTTTATATCACTGATATATTTCTATAAACCACCGAAAAGCATGTAATAAAATTCCATCATTACCATGCCTTTGTATTTAATATTATCTTTTTTTCCTCACTTTATCACAGGATTTCTTGGACAGTGAAGGAATAGTATTGAATTCCAGTGAAGGACTGCCAACTGATCCCTACATTGAGAGAAGAAAGAATGCAGCCGCTCTCCGCACATACACAACACCATCGTCTTTTGACAAGCAGAAACAGTTCCTTGAACTGGACAGAAAAGTTTTACGTTTCTTCTGTGTTTGGGACGATAGGGATAACATGTTCGGTGAAATGAGACCATTTGTTATACATGTAAGTATAATGTATTCTATATGGAAATATTTTTACGTTTGTATGGCAACATTGATCCAATGTAAGTTTGCTTATCTTGGATGGACATCGTTCCAATATCAGTAAAAGCACTGCCATATTCCAACATGATAGCTGATACTTGTCTGATATAGGTATGTTTGTTTTGGTCATGTGATGAATAATGGAATTACTTTGTATGAGGTAAGTTGACAACAATGTCACCAATTGCATCTTGTTGAAAAATCTATCTGTTTTTTTTACCATATGTATAATAATTTAAGACAAATGTGTCTGGATCATTCAAATTTGGATTGTTGTGTAAGTTGTGAAATGAGATCAAATAAGTTGTAAATAAATTGAAACAATAGTTAAATTTTGAATCCTAATACTAATTTGGGACAAATAGCAATTTAGCAATGACTTAAAATTAAAAAAGAAGCTTTTAACTTTGGACCTGTCTAATGAAGTATAAACTGATTATGTATGAAAATGGAGCCAATGAATTAAATGGATTTTTATTTCCATTGCGCTGAAAATTTGAACCTGTCAGTTGTCATACATACATGTGAATGATTTGTTATTTAAACTTTGTTTGTTTTATTTCAGTATTTCTTGGTAGATGATACATTAGAGGTTCGAGAGGTACACACAGCCAACGACGGTAGAGATCCATTCCCAGTACTCATTGGTAGACACAAAGTTCCTATAAATAGATATAATGTTGACTCGTCTTTCCCCGCAGTGGTGATGGAACTGTCTTCACATGAGATTAAAGAGTATTTTACACCAAAAGATTTCAAGATCGGAGACACGGTGCAGCTGTACGGAAGACGGTTCCTTATCTATGACTGTGACAATTTCACAAAGAGTTTCTATTACCACACTTTCGGAATATCGGAATTCCCAACAGTTGATGTAAAACAGAAAATGAGAGATCTACCAAAAATGGTCAGTTTATATTCTTTGGAAATGAAATAGCCAACTATTTAAAGGTTAACCCCTTTATAGAAACCCAATTTTTTAAGGGTTGCCCCCTTTATATAACTTTTTATAATACTGCATGTTTGTAACGTCACTTTTCATTGGATAATCGTGATGTTTATATAGTTTTATATACATGGCTGCTGTCGATTCAAGAAGAAATCTTACTTTTTTTCTCTAAAAAAATGATGCTTGCTGTATTATAAATTCGTTAAAAAGATTGTTGACAGGTTAGATGGCCGTATATAAACGTCTGTTTGCAATATAACCCTCGCCTTACGGCTCGGGTTATATTTACAAATAGCCATTTATATAGGGCCATATAACCTGTCAACGACATTTATAACTAATAATATATACCTTTAAGATCTCAATAATCAAACTAAATTCATGTTGTAAGAAATACTTTCAAATAAAGGGAAGTAACTCTTTCTTTCATACTAAAAAGATCAAGGGAGACTACTTTAGTTTCCACTTATATGGTAAAACATGTGTACGTTAGATTAAAACAATTTTCCTATTGAAGAAATGGAAAAAAAATAATGATGCATTGACTATTCCTATCCTACATGTAGTTCAAGCAAACTGGGAACAACATTTTGGTTTATTATAGGGAATTTTTGTTATCATTTTATGGAAATTCTGCCATATTACAAATTTTGTACCCCATGTTGTTTTTTTTTATTTTCAGGAAATTCCACCATTTAACCAGTTTGGTTCACTAGAAGACTCTCTGCAGTCCTGTTTGTCACTGATACCACAGCCTCCTAAGAAAGATTTTATCAAAATGTTGGAAAATGATCATAAAGTTCTCAGATTTGAGGGGGTCATGGTAAGTTTCTTAATATATTTGAAGTCTGGATTTTTGTTTAAGTAAGGAATTCATATGTAATCTACAATTTGAAAACAAATATAAGATAAAATAAGATGTTCTTAATTGTTAAAGACGTAAAAAAAACTGAGTTTATTCAAACAAGTTTGGCGTATTAAAGGCATTTATCAAAACATAGAGAGTTTCACAAATTCTTAATTGAAATAGCACAAATTCTTAATTGAAATAGCTCTGATTATCAATTTTAGCCCTTAAACTAATTGAACTGAAAGTGATTACTTTTAAATAGACACAAGTCTATAGAGCCATGTCACCCTGCATATCCTTGCAGCTTAACCAGGCTCAACACTGTTGGCTGACCATCTTTATAATTTTAGCCTGATAACCCTAGTATATTATGTAAAACTGAGCTTTTGGTAGTTATTACAAGCAAGTGATGCCATGTAATCAGAAGAATGTGTGGTTTGCTTTGTTCAAGGAATTAAATTGATCTAAAACTTAGAATTAAATCAAAATCAAATCATTTTAGGATTCAGTAAGACCGGAGGACAAGGGGCGTAGGTTTATCATATCATACAGACTGGCTGATGACATGATGACAATCTACGAGCCTCCAGTGCGTAACTCTGGTATCATCGGAGGAAAATTCCTTGAACGAACACGTGTCGCCAAGCCTAACTGCCTACCAGACCAACCAGTGTTTTACGGACCACAGGATTTCTACATTGGTGCCGTTATTGAGGTGTTTAGACATAGATTTGTTATCACTAATGCAGATGAATACGTCCTCAAGTTTATGGAAGATCATTCAGGACAGTTCCCAGGTAAGCTTCTCATTAAAGGTCACAAACCAAGGTCATCTTGTAATTTTGAATTTCAAACATGTTATGGCCTCTGTTTTTATCTTTTTGCACAGTTGCACGCAAACTGCGCAATATCATACAATAGAGCACTAAAAGTTAATACCAAATTCCATTCTATTTTGCTCATAGAGAAGAACAGAAATTTGTTAAAACAAAATTCAGCAAAGCATTAATTTGCAATGTACCTGAAATCATAAGCAGGATATAGGTGATATACTGCATAGATGTGCAGCTTTTAACCTGTTAATGTACTGAATAAATAGGCTTGTTCTCTTCCCACTGAAATCTGTGGATTTTATTGGCATAATAGTTTATTATTTACATGGTTCACTCTGGCTCTTTACTGATTATAAGTGATATGATTGGCTAGGCGTGACATACATGTTTGCTTGCACTTAAAGGATCAAAGGTCTTGTTTTATTGTTGCTAGCGCTCAAATTTTGATATGACAGAATTTATATACTCATTGAAAAATCCCTTATCACTGCTTCCGCTCAAAGTGTAAAAATGACATGATATTATTTATGATTTACAGGCAGTACAATACAGTCATTGAGAGAGAGGCTAGCAGAGGGGAGCATTTTGAAGGAGACCGTGAAAGGTGCTCCAATGAAAGTTAAGAGAACGTAAGTATTCTTTATATCTAACTTCAGTGTATATCCCTTATAAATGGTCTATGTCAGCCATATAGCTTTCTATACATGTTTGCATTTATATTCTTCATATTATCATCAGAAACCTATATTGAATACACTGAATCCTGAGAGTGTTTTTTGTTAATTTTTAAAAGTACTTGTTGATTTGAATCATTCTCGAGTTAGCTTCCTGGAACTTACCAGTACTGATATCATTTGTATATGTCGAGAAACAAGATTGAAGCTATGTAGACAGATTTCTTGAGTTGAGAGGCTAAGACCGTAACAACTTAACCACAGATAATACGCTCTCTTTGAGCTGAGTGCCTGGAATACTATGCTTTTCAGTTTTTGTACAATAGGTTGAATAAAAGCTTAAATAGAGAAATTAATATTTTCAGAGATGGTGACTTAAACACATTAGTGCAACAAGTCAGAGCGCAATTGAAGAAGATTGCAATTACTGATAAATCCCGTGTAGACGAGATGTTCTTACGATACAACACAAACAGAACTGGATTTATAGACGCCCTAAATATGAGAGACTTGTGCCGAAGACTACAACTGCCCGCCGATGATGATGTAATTAATGCCGTATGTATTGAAAATCTTTGAATTCACGATTAAGTTATTTCCCTCGTGAACAAAATTTTGGCATTAAATATGTGCCAACCTCCATGGCTAAGTGTCTAAAAGTCTTAAGGTCGTTGACCTCAAATCACTTGTATGTCGGAGTTCTGGTTTAAAACCCTGCTCGTGCCTTTGAGTTTCTTCAAAGAAGCTGTCCATATAGCTTATTGAAGATAGGTACATGTAGATATATACTCTGGTGTCCCTTTTGTACTAAAATAATAGAGAATGGGCCACCGGAGATCTTCATTCAATAATGCAGCAAGAAAATCCCAATGTGTTCTTAACAGTGTGGGTATCACTAAACAATCAACAGAAAAAAAACAACATTGTCTTTAAAATTGTTTTAGTTAAAAGTTTATCTCATTTGAGAGAGTAGACCCCAATGTAACAATTTCTTTAAAAAAAAGTTGGGTTTTTTTTCTCTTCTTTCCTTATCATTTACTATATCTTTATCTTTCATTCAGTTTTAATTCGTTAATTTATGTATCTTTTTTTTAATTTTATTTCAGCTTGTTGCATGCTGCACTGATAACCCAGAAGGAAAGATAAGCCTGGAAGACTTTAGAAGATTTGTGGAGAGCTCATGAGTTAACTTCCTTTATAGACAATATTTTATAAAATGGATGAAAAGAGATGGAAAATGAACTTAAATAGTTTTTGTTTTATATAAATTGAAAGAGTAAATAAATTTTAATAGTAAAATTTATAGCAAGTATTTTTTTTAAGTTATATTTTATGAGTAAATCATGAGTAACTATGAGTTATCAATTTTACAATTTTCTTTTAATTTGAATAATCAATTTTAAAAAGTTATTTAAATAAAAGTTTACAAAAGGGGATTGTGCTTTTATATGACAGTGGATATAATATAACTTGACAGCGGATTAATTCCAGATTTAATTGTGGATGGAATCTAATTTATATTACTGTTGCTTATTGCCCATGCATTTCTGTTGTTTCTATACTTGTTGACGAAATGACTGTCTTTTTGACTTTATAAAGAAACTTTCAGTTTCAAAACCAACATTTTTTTTAACCCTGTATCTGACCACAGGAGAGCTTTATGCTGAGTATATATACTACAAGATCTATTGTTTACAAATTTTCTATTATTTATATGTACTGTGAAGTACCTAACTTTTAAACTGAGTTATTAAAAATATATTAAAAGATTCTGTGATAATAAAATGTAAAATATAAACACCGTGTTTTGTTTCATGATATCCCGTTTAGAATAAAACTTATTTATAGTAAAATTTTTTATCTGATATGGGTTCGAATACCACTACAAAATTGTATTTTGCTACCCCGTTAGCTAATAGCCCCCTCGGAATGTCGGTGCCATAATTATATGCCCGAAACCATGCACAGGATGGCTTCTTAATTTATGTAAGCCTTTAAGAAGGATAGAAAACTTTCCATTCCACCTTTGCAATGTAGTATCTTGATGATGAGGAATAAACGGAAATAATACCAGTTAAGGCAAGGTTGCAATCTGGAACTGTGTGTGGATGCAATAACTTTATAATTGTCAATAAAATATTTATAAATTAACAAACACTCTGACCTACGAGTGATTTACAAAATTTGTCTGACATGAACAATATTGTCAAAAACATTAACCTTCGAACACAATTGTCTAGCTGTGATATACTTTTCCTATAAGCTTGATTATTTTCAAAGTTATTTTTGAGTATTACATTGACCTTTTGTTTGTATACTCGGCGCCGGAATGAACCATATTGGCCGAGACCTATATATACGGCGTAATTGCCGGTCTACTGCTGTAGTTCATCGGAGACGTCTTTTGAGGTTTTTCTATTAGCCTAAGCTGACGCAGTAACAATTTCAATGGTATTATGACATTTAGCTAACACAGTTAAAACTGCAAGGTAACTTTCGAGTATTATTTTACATTTAACAGTTAATTATAACTGCAAAGCGACTTTCGCGTGACTCGGGCCGTAACCTGTCCGATGTTGTTTTCTTCTGTTTGTTACCTCTAAAAATATCATAAAAGAATTATCCCGGAGCACAAATTGCCCGAGTTCGTGCCGAATTAGCAAATACAACAGCTTATACGTTCCCCATTACGCCAATACACTGACGAACCGGTGCCCGCATGTCATAGCGTTTTAGGTGCGTTGATTTCTGCTGCAAATACGATGTTTTTCTGCTGCAAATATGAGTGTATTTTTAAACGCGGAGAAAGGCAGTCTAGTACTGGTGTAACTCTCCAGGAACGATGGTTAGGAAACTACCCGCCTATATAACTGAAATACTGTTGGAAAAAGGCGTAAAATGAAACAAACAAATTAACAAACGGTTTTCCGTCACGTTGAAGTCCACGGTAAGCTACATATTGGACTAATTTCAGTTTAATAGGTACGAAGTTTTCGTTTACGGCAATATGAACCACATTTCGCTAGTTTAAGAAAATTTGAAGCGACATTCATGCGAAGCATGGGCGCTAGCAAGTGTGTTATAGCAAGGGTGAATGTGTTTATTTACAAATCCTACAGCTTCTTACATTAATACCATTTTAAGGAGCACTCGGTGACTTTATCATTTCCGAATTCGTTGTTGATTTTTTAGATTTTTGTGCCTAATACAAGTGGAATTAATTTAAAAGTGAGTTAAAAGTGTAAAGATGTTGTCAATATCGAGTATGCCTATTTGCGTTGATTACAACCTAACACCGTCGCCTCATGCTACCGATAAGCCCGCGTTAGGCGTTTTGTGAGATTCGAACTCACTCTTTAAAGCGGTTCTGTCTAAGCTCCTGGGTGGTGGTTGGCTTTATAGGGCGAGCTGAAATCGTTCTCTGAAGAATGTCAGAGAGCTACCACGAGTGCATACGACCGTTTAGGAACGTATACGATAAAAGCCAAAATATAGGACGAAGTTTATTAGCGATAAATTTACACCAATTTCTACCTATACGTGTGCACATTAATGTTGCACTATTTTATTTAAGCTGTTTACATATTTACATTTACCGGTATCATATAGATTTAAAATCCTATGATAAAAGTTAGGGCAAATAATTTCGACAGTATTCAAACACATGCAACGATAGTTAACTATACGTAAAGTGACATATACTTTAACCAAATAGTTGAATTTTTGTGAAAAGTTGGAATTGCCGTATAGCAACTATTGAAGTGTTAATATATATTGAAACATCAAATGTCTTCGACGCCTAAGCAAGACCCGAAGGACAGGAGAGTGGTGGATAATTTAATAAGGACTGGAATAGTTATAACATGTATCACACTGCCTTTGGGGTACTACATAATGCCAGAGCCAACAATTCGTTTAGAAACAGCTTGGGAACGTATTGTCTTCACGTTACGTTGGCAGACGTTGTCAATGTTTACGCTCTTATTCGCATTGCAGCGCGTGATGACTCTGCGGCATACCACGGTCGCTATCAACCCGATAACCGGAAATGGTGAAAAATATCTGGAGGTTGACAGCAGATGCTTACAGAACACGTTCGAACAGTTTGTTGTTAATGTATTTGGACAGCTGGTTTTAGCGACGTTCCTTGAGGACAGTTTACAGAAGTTGATACCCGTGCTTGTGCTCTATTTTGTAGTTGCACGTGCTTTATTTTATTTTGGCTATAGGCGGGATCCATTAAAACGCGCACTTGGAATGAGCATGTCACACGCACCAAATTTAGGAGTTTACCTTTATATTGTTTACTGTTTGATATGCTATGGACCTTTATACGGATTAAAGCCATAACAATAGAAACTTTAGGATAATAAGCCATTGAATAGAACTGATAAACATTTATAGAGGGCCATGTGCTTTATATACACACCGTATTATTTGTATTATATCGAGCAATATCCTTATTGAAAATAGTGGTTCAGTATTTACATCAAAGTATTAGCCATATATTTTAACAAAATAACAATAAAACACATGCCCTTGAAACTGTAGTTCAATATACACTTTAGATGAGTTTAAAAATAAAACCTAACGCAAACAAAGCATATTTTGTAATATATTATCGACTTTATCTTTTAGCTAACCAGAGCCGAAGGCTCAGGATGAGCTATTAGTATCAAATGGGGATACTCCGGCGTCCATTGTCCGTCGTCCGTCGTCATGCGTCAACAATCGTCTTCTTCTCTGAAACTACTGGGCAGATTTACTTCAAATTTTGTCTGTAGCATCCTTGTGACAGTCACACTTGAATTTGCTCATGTCATTCCAATTGGCACCTTTTAGAGGTCAGCAGAGCTAGAAATAGAAAAACCTTTAAACATCTTCTTCTACAGAACTAATTGATGGATGATCACCAAACTTTGTCTGTAGCATTCTTTGGTAGTCTTTTATCAAGTTTGCTAATATTTTTTTGATTGGCCCCTTTTAGGGGTCTCTAGGGCTAAAAATAGAAAAAAAGCTTTAAACATCTTCTTCAACAGAACTAATGGATGGATGATCACCAAACTTTGTCTGTAGCATCCCTTGGTAGTGTTTTATCAAGTTTGCTCATATAAATTTGATTGGCCCCTTTTAGGGGCCGCAAAAGCTAAAAAAAGAAATACCTTTAAATGTCTATTTCTAGATAACTAATAGATTGATGATCACCAAACTTAGTCGGTAGCATTCTTGGGTAGTCTTTTATCAAGTTTGCTCATATAAATTTGATTGGCCCCTTTGAGGGGTCTCTAGGGCTAAAAATAGAAAAACCTTTAAACATCTTCTTCTACAGAACTAATGGATGGATGATCACCAAACTTTGTCTGTAGCCTTCTTGGGTAGTGTTTTATCAAGTTTGCTCATATTAATTTGATGGGCCCCTTTTAGGGGCCGCAAAAGCTAAAAATAGAAATACATTTAAATGTCTTTTTTTAAAGAACTAATTGATGGAAGATCACCAAACTTTGTCTGTAGCATTCTTAGGTAGTCTTTTATCAAGTTTGCTAATATCATTTTGATTGACCCCTTTTAGGGGTCCCTAGGACTAAAAATAGAAAAAACCTTTAAACATCTTCACCTACAGAACTAATTGATGGATGGTCACCAAACTTAGTCGGTAGCATGCTCGGGAAGTGTTTTATCAAGTTTGCTCATATTTATTTGATTGGCCCCTTTTAGGGGCCGCAAAAGCTAAAAATAGAAATACATTTAAATGTCTTTTTCTAAAGAACTAATTGATGGAAGATCATCAAACCAAACTTTGTCTGTAGCATTCTTGGGTAGTCTTTTATCAAGTTTGCTAATATTTTTTGATTGGCACCTTTTAGGGGTCTCTAGGGCTAAAAATAGAAAAAAAGCTTTAAACATCTTCTCCTTCAGAACTAATTGATGGATGGTCACCAAACTTAGTCAGTAGCATGCTCTGGTAGTGTTTTATCAAGTTTTCTCATATTAATTTGATTGGCCCCTTTTAGGGGCCGCATAAGCTAAAAATAGAAATTCCTTTAAATGTCTATTTCTAAAGAACTAATTGATGGATGATCACCAAACTTTGTCTGTAGCATTCTTGGGTAGTCTTTTATCATGTTTGCTCATATTAATTTGCTTAGCCCCTTTTAGGGGTCTCTATAGCTAAGAATAGAAATACCAGTAAATGTCTATTTCTATAGAACTAATTGATGGATGATCACCAAACTTTGTCTGCAGTATTCTTGGGTAGTCTTTTATCAAGTTTGCTCATATTAATTTGATAAGCCCTTTTAGGGGCCACTTAAGCTAAAAAAAGAAATATCTTTAAATGTCTATTTCTAGAGAACTAATGGATGGATGATCACTAAACTTTGTCTGAAGCATTGTTAGGTAGTCTTTTATGAAGTTTGCTCATATTATTTTGATTGGCCCCTCTTAGGGGCCGCTTAAGCTAAAAATAGAAATGCCTTTAAGTGTCTATTTCTACAGAACTAATGGATGGATGATCATCAAACTTTGCCTGAAGCATTGTTTGGTAGTCTTTTATCAAGTTTGCTCATATTAATTTAATTGACCCCTTTGCTAAAAATAGAAAAACTTTTAAACATCTTTTTCTTCAGAACCAATTGATGGATGATCACCAAATTTTGTCTGTAGCATTCTTGGTTACTCTTTTATCAAGTTTGCTTATATTTATTTGATTAGCCCCTTTTAGGAGCCACTAAAGCTAAAAATAGAAAAACCTTTAAATGTCTATTATAGATAACTAATTGATTGATGATCACAAAACTTTGTCTGTAGCATTCTTGGGTAGTGTTTTATCAAGTTTGCTCATATTAATTTGATTGGCCCCTTTTAGGGGTCTCTAGGGCTAAAAAAAGAAATACCTTTAAATTTCTTTTTATAGATAACTAATTGATTGATGATCACCAAACTTTGTCTGTAGCATTCTTGGGTAGTCTTTAATCAAGTTTGCTCATATTAATTTGATTGGCCCCTTTTAGGGGTCTCTAGGACTAAAAATAGAAAAACCTTTAAACATCTTCACCTACAGAACTAATAGATGGATGATCACCAAACTTAGTCGGTAGCATGCTCGGGTAGTGTTTTATCAAGTTTGCTCATATTAATATGATTGGCCCCTTGTAGGGGCCGCAAAAGCCAAAAAAAGAAATACATTTTTTTAAAAATGTCTATTTCTAAAGAACTAATTGATGGAAGATCACCAAACTTTGTATATAGCATTCTTGGGTAGTCTTTTATCAAGTTTGCTCATATTAATCTGATTGGCCCCTTTTAGGGGTCTCTATGGCTAAAAATAGAAATACATTTAAATGTCTATTTATAGATAACTAATTGATTGATGATCACCAAACTTTGTCTGTAGCATTCTTGGGTAGTGTTTTATCAAGTTTGCTCATATTAATTTGATTGGCCCCTTTTAGAGGTCTTTAGGGCTAAAAAAAAAGAAAAAAGATTTAAACATCTTCTCCTTCAGAACTAATTGATGGATGATTACCAAACTTAGTCAGCAGCATGCTCTGGTAGTGTTTTATCAAGTTTGCTCATATTAATTTCATTGGCCCCTTTTAGGGGTTTCAAAAGCTAAAAATAGAAATACCTTTAAATGTCTATTTCTAAAAAACTAATTGATGGAAGATCACCAAACTTTGTCTGTAGCATTCTTGGGTAGTCTTTTATCATGTTTGCTCATTTTAATTTGCTTAGCCCCTTTTAGGGGTCTCTATAGCTAAGAATAGAAATACCAGTAAATGTCTATTTCTATAGAACTAATTGATGGATGATCACCAAACTTTGTCTGCAGTATTCTTTGGTAGTCTTTTATCAAGTTTGCTCATATGAATTTGATAAGCCCTTTTTAGGGGCCGCTTAAGCTAAAAAAAGAAATATCTTTAAATGTCTATTTCTAGAGAACTAATGGATGGATGATCACTAAACTTTGTCTGAAGCATTGTTAGGTAGTCTTTTATGAAGTTTGCTCATATTATTTTGATTGGCCCCTTTTAGGGGCCTCTTAAGCTAAAAATAGAAATACCTTTAAGTGTCTATTTCTACAGAACTAATGGATGGATGATCATCAAACTTTGCCTGAAGCATTGTTTGGTAGTCTTTTATCAAGTTTGCTCATATTAATTTAATTGACCCCTTTTAGGGGCCGCTAAAGCTAAAAATAGAAAAGCCTTTAAACATCTTTTACTTCAGAACCAATTGATGGATGATCACCAAACTTTGTCTGTAGCATTCTTGGGTACCCTTTTATCAAGTTTGCTTATATTTATTTGATTAGCCCGTTTTAGGGGCCACTAAAGCTAAAAATAGAAAAAGACCTTCGAACATCATTTCCTACTGAAATAATTGAAACTTTGTAGCATTCTTAGGTAGTCTTTTATCAAGTTTACTCATATTATTTTGATAAGCCCTGTTTAAGCTAAAGCTTAAATACCCTAGGTCATGGCATTTCTTCAAATTATTGTTTAAACATATTCTATGCTCAAATTTAATATTAGAATATATTGACATTCCAACACTGAAAAGCAATTGTTTCTGGTGAGCGACTCAGGGCCATCATGGCCCTCTTGTTATATATAATACTCCCTGTGATTTTATCTTAATTTTGTGGGGATGAATTTTGAAATTTCAAGGTTCTGCCACAAAGACAATGTTCGCGTTGTTAATATACGTCCTGGTGGTCACACTGACCATAGCTTTTGCAGAAACGGTGGGTCCATCGCAGTGGCGGTGGAGTATTTGTCACAGAAGCGATGGATAAAATATGGTCGTTTGCTGTTGTCAGTAAGTGTATGACTGAATTTTGTTTTATATTTTAATGTTTTACCGGAAACACATAGTGAGACTGGCACATATGTACTCTTTCAACTTATTACACACACAAGGTGCAATTCGTTGTCTATGCAAACACTTCTGTACAATTTGACGAGGGGACGCCACTTTTGCCAAATTTTGGTTAAAACATGTACAAATGTGTGCAAAACGACCCCATAATACAACGGCATCACATCGTATGAATGATACTTTCACAAATTAACCATAATTTGGAAATTTGGAAAATTATTATTGCCTGTTTATAAAATAATTGACAAAATGTTTTCAACGCATGCGGCGGTTGATTCAATTGCAACGCAGTGCGGTAGGCCTGATATCATTTATATATATATTTGAGGGTTTAACTTGACGTAACGCACTTTTCAATAGAGTACTATTCTTTTCTTTCTTTGACATCTGAGAATCGTGTTTATTTGATGTTTAAAACGATAAACCCTTTCGCTGCCAGAGGGTTATTGATTTATTGATCACCTTTTTGCCAGAGGATTTTCTAAGAAATTACTATAATATATATTATTAATATAATTATTATTATTATTTGTTA